CAGCTGTGTCCGAGATGCCAGTGCGAGGGCAGGGACCCCAGCTCCACCTCCACGGGCAGCAACGGACACAGCCAGGGTGCGGCTCACAGCCTGGTGCAGTCTGGACCCTTCCCCTCATGGCAGCCCCGGGGATGTGTGTGGGGGCAAAGGGCTGGGCCCAGTGGGGATCATGGGTCCCCTCTGCTTCCTGACAAACTCTGACTGCTCCCTGAGACACACATGAGAGCAGAGAGCAGTGCCAGGTAGAGGGTAAGAAGAGTCAGCAAGGGGTGCCCGGCCGAGGACCCCACAAGCCACCAGGAAAGGCCAGTACCTGAGTCTGCAAGCTGGTGGCATCCATGACGGTGACCCGGGGCCCACAGCTGGCCCACACAGTGTCCTCCAGGCTCAGCAGGGTGCGGATGGGCCCTGGCCCCACAGTCAGGCACATGGGCGGGCTCTCCAGGTCCCAGGGGACATCTCCTGGAGAGATAGAGGGAGAGCAGGTCAGGGCCCAGGGCTCCTCGACCCTCGGGACCCACAGCCCGCAGTGGGGGCCCAGCCGGGCTCCACGAGACCCTCTGGCCATTTCTGTGGCCCCCCAGGGGGGATGGTGGCTGTTCCCAGCTGCCTTCATCTATGTCCCACCCCTACGACAGAACGAACCAGAGGACCTGGCCTGGCACTGAGCAACGCTCTCACCTGCCCGCCCAGCGATGCAGGCTCACCTCAGGACAGGCCGAGGGCAGTGTTCACTGAGACTGGTTTTTCTCTCGAGCCACACAGAACCCCAGTGGCTGCCCTGTCCTGCCGGGGTGCCAGGTGGGAAATGAGGTTGAGGAGGAAGTGGGGGCACACCTCGGAAAGACAGGCAGGAGCAGCTGGGCCTGGGAGGCAGGACGGAGCCTGCCGCTGGCCTGCCAGTGCCAGCCACCCCCACACTCCCTCCACCAGGTCCCTGGGAAGAGGGCAAAGCTGTCCCCTCACAGACCCTCCCTCTGAGCCAGGGGCTGATGGCGTGATGGAGCCATGCTGTCCACAGAGCTGGAGGGGCCACCAGGGTATATGAAAGCCACTGCCTGGGGCATGGCAAAGAGTCCTTTGAGTGATGGTTCCCAACCTTTTTGGCACCAGGGACCGGTGCCCCTATGAGAATCTAATGCCTGCTGATCTGAGGTGGGGCTGAGGCGGTGATGCTAGCGCCGGGGAGCGGCTGCAGATACAGATGGAGCTTCGCTTGCTGGCCCGCCGCTCACCTCCTGCTGTGCAGCCCAGTTCCTAACAGGCCACAGACCGGTACCAGTCCACGACCCGAGGTTTGGGGGCCCCTGCTACAGAGGACACACCAGCCTCCCCACCACCTCTGCACCCCGCTCCCAGGCTTTCCCCACCCTCCCTCTCCTCCCTGCCTGTAAAATAGGTTCTCCTCCCACCCTCTGTCCTACTTAAAATGGGCAGACTCCCGGCTCAGCTAGGAGGGGCGCAGGAATCCCCCCTCCCAAATACACGCCCGTTCTTTCCAGCCCATGCACATGGGCACGTGGGAAGCAGCTGAGCCAGAATCCCAGCTGCAGCCTCTAAACCTCTGCATGAATGAGGACAGGTGACTTAACCCCTCCGAGCCTCAGTTTCCTCCTCTGTAAAACGGGCACGACAGCCGTGCCTGTACCTCACGGGATGCTTCAGGGGTCAAATGAAACGTGGACTGTTTGGCACAGGGCTGGCGCACAGTAAGGAGAGCTGACAGCCGTGGCTACCTACAACTATATACCTGCCTGCCAGGCACTCTCTTCATGAATTACTTCCTTCCTTCACTCCCAGCCTGTGCGTTCTGTTCTTAATCCTGTTTTACAACTGAAGAAACAGAGATGCCGGGAATTTAAATAGCCAGCCCGAATGTGCCCGGCGCTCATCAGCTCCTACTGTTTGATGTCATTTCCCACCACACAACAGTCTGTGGAAGAAGGTGTTGACTCCACTGGGCTATTGCAATAACAGAGACCCAGAGAGCTGAGACCCCCAAGGGGTGACGGGCCAAGCAGGACTGGAATTCCGCTGACTCTGGCCGTAGCCTCCTGCCCTGACCCCTGCTGCCCTCTCAGGTTCTCAGAGTTTCCAAAGGGCTCTGGGGCCATAACTAGAGTCCAGGAAGGGCGAGTGACCACAAGGCGGCCAAGCTTCCGTGAGGGACGCTGACCTTCTCCAGAACGCCAGAGCCACAAAAATGCAAGGCTTTGAGCGCCCCCCAGTGGCCATAGGTGAGTAGTGCCTGTAGCCAAAACCTGGAGCTCCCGCCACTACGGCTCAGGTGGGGACTGGGACCCTCTCCCCAGGAAATACCTGGGGATACTGGGATGACATCCCGAAAACTGAAAAATGGGGGCTCTGTCCTGTGCACAGCAGTGATGACTACCTGCAGTCTCTGCCCTGCCCTTTCCTGGAACGGCATGGCCGTGGCTAGCTGGGGTAGGGGCTAGAGCCTGCCACCCCTGAGGATCAGGTGCGCACCGACCACCCCTCCACTTGCTGGGCATCTCCAGAAACCCTCCAAAAAGTCCAGGCTCTGGGACAGAAGGATAACTGATAAAATTTAATACCGATATTACTATATGAAAAAGGACACCAGACGAGTCCCCTTGCTGGGACTCAGTTTCCCCATCTGCACCTCCAGGGGACGGAACCTCTAAGGTTCTCCCCAGCCCTCACGGGCTACAGTCCTAAGGTTTTAAACACAAGCACTCTGAGCTCCGGGCAGGGCCAGCCCCCCGCAGCCTGGTCGGGGATCCACCCCCTCCTCCTCACTCCTTCCCCTCCAGTGGCTTCAGCTACACGCGACATGTTCTGGAACATGCGTGCACACTCACACACTTACACACACACGCACACACACTCACGGTGTGACATCCTACTCATCTGGGTCTGGCACCAGCCCTCACACTGCCGGATGGAGATGAAGGCCCTGGCTCAGCAATGGCTCCTTCAGGAATGGCGGCCTTCCTCCCCCGGCCTGCAGATCTTCCTCGGGGGTCCAGATCCAGCTGGAGCCAGAAGGCAGCACACAGAGTGAAAGTCACCAAGACCAAGAGGAGCCCAAAGGGCAGCCTGTGGCCGGTCGGTAATAACACCAGTAACGACCATTTAGATGGGCGGTAACGAGCACAAGTCTACACTCCAGGGCCCATCCAGGCACCTGTGTGACGGATTGTACCTGGTCTTCACAAACCACTCTGTGCATCTGGGCTGCCTTCACCCCCATTTTACAGGTGAGGAAACTGAGGCTCTAAAAGGCGAAGCAACAAGCCCAATCTCACAGCTGGGTCTCGACCCCAGGCTGCCTGCCTCCTCAGCCCATTCCCTTACAATTCCATCATCTGGCTCCTCCAGGAAGTGACCCTGGCCCACGTCCCCAGCATGTAACCAGGGACATTCCCACACCTGCACCCAGGCCTGGTCATGCTCCCGTGCCTTCTCAGAGATGGGGGAGGCAGCTCTGCTCACACACAGGACTGGGCAGGGACAGTGGCCCCCAGATCCCCTCTGGGTCTCCATGTCCTGCTCAGTGCCTGGCACCTCATGGGCATTGAAGACATATTTGCTGAGTGAGCGAAATGAATGAACAAGAGAATGAATGAATGTAGAATGCAGATGAGCAGAGGCTTCTGAGGGCAGACTGACGCCATGGCCAGACTGTTCTTGGCCTTGGTTTCCCCATCCGTCAGCTAGAATTTGGACTCTAAGGACCCTGTGGTCCTGATAGCCTGGGACTCCAAGTGGCCTGGTGACCTCCAATTCCTTACAGCCATCTCTAAGCTGCTGATTCCACAGGTCCATCAGGACTCGGGCAAATTGCAGGCTGGTTTCTGCCCATTTTACTTAATATTTCTGGTCCTGCCCTCTTGCCACGAGCCAGAACTGCCAATTTTATCCAGTCTTGGTCTCAGCCAAACTCAGGCAGGACAGAAACCGGTCACTATAAATACTGACAAATATCAAATACCCACTGGGAGTCCAGGATAAGGGTCTGGATTATTCAATTTCCCAGACCCTCCAGGCCACCAGGGGTGCCAGAGGGGGCTTCTGCAGGCCCAGGGCTCTGGGGCTGGGGTGGGGTGGGGTATCTAGGCATAGCCAAGGCCTTGGTGAGTCTGGAGGAGGTCACACAGTTGGGTCAGGGGCCAGGCTGATGATTCCAGAGCCAGACACACGCAGCCCCGGAGAAAGGCAATGGGGAGGAATCGCCCCACCCCACACTGTGTGCAGTTCCTAAGAGTCTCCCTTCCTGCCCTGGCCACTTCCGGAGGACACCACAGGAGGCACCAGGCAAGTCCCCCCCGCACCCTCCCAGAGGCCTCCCTGGCCAAAGCCAAACCAAAGGCACTGACGGTGGGCTCAGGAGGAGAGAGTGACCCAGACTCACTTGTCCAGCAGGCTGCGGCAGCCTCCCAGCCAGTCTCCTGCCTCTTCTGTCTCCCAGCCAGAGCAGGCACAGTGCTCAGCCACTTCCAACACTTCTATCTACTTCCCGTCAACTGAGACAAACCCGAGGCCCACAGGTCTGGCCCCAGACCTTGCCTCGTACCGTTTCCCCCTCTGCCTACTGCCCAGCAAGACAGCCTCCTCTCTGGGCCCCCCACCAGAACGACCCCTCTCCTGCCGCCAGGCCTCTGCACGTGCTGGTCCCTCTGCCAAGAACACCGTTCACTCGACTCTTCACTTGCCTGGCCATTGTGGGACTCAGCTTCAGGATCCTGCTCCTTGGAGAGACCTTCGCCGACCAGCCCACCCCACACCCAGAACAGTCAGGCTCTCACATGACATCTGTTCCCTCCCTTAGGACCCTCAGCATGATCATAAGCTCCCTGTTTGTTCACGTGACTAATTCTGACTCCCTCTATAAACTCTGCAAGGGCAGGGTCACATCTGTTTTGCTGGCCACTGAACCCATGGCACGTAGTAGGTGCTTAGTAAATATCTGGTGGACAGACATTGGCAAGTCAGGAAAGCTGGTGGAGCATCTCGACCTTCTCCTCCAGGCCAGTCGGCCTCTAACTCTGCCCCCTGCCATCTAGAGAGGGCTCTAGGCCCAGAGAGAGGACATTTGAGTTCAGGTCTTGGTTCACCCCTGAGACTTTGGAGAGTCCCTTCCCACCTGGAAAATGAGGGTGTGGAGTTCAATGGTGCCCGATGGTCCTTCTGGCTGACAAACTACCATTTCCCAACCCCAGGCTGAAAGCCAATAGTTACATACAAAACCCCCTATGGGTTGAATTGTGCCCCCTAAAAATTCACACGTTGAAGTCCTAACTCCCACAACCAGCATGTGACCTTATCTGGGTCGGGTTGTTGCAGATGAGGTCCTACTGGAGTAGGGTGGGCCCCTAATCCAATGACTAGTGTCACTATTTACAAGAACACCATGTGGAGACTGGAGTCATGCTGCCACAGGCCGAGGGACTGCCGGCAGCTGGGGCACGGGCCTGGGACAGGTCCTTCCCGGGCACCTTCCAAGGTAGCGTGGCCCTGACACCCCCCTGATCCTGGACTTCTACCCTCCAGACTCGTGAGGCGATAAATTTGTGTCGTTTAAACTACTCAGTCGGTGACACTTTGTTAGGGCAGCTCCAGCAAACTCATAGACCCCCTCTGCTCCCCACAGCCTGATAAGTCAGGAACCGAGAGGGGAAGGGCCAAGGCAGCCCGAACTGGGGACAAGAGGGCCAGACTGCGGCCAGACGGGGCTCGCAGTGCTCGGCGGGGACCGGGGTGCAGGTCCCTCTGGACCCCTTGTCTAATCTCCGAAGATCTGAGCCCATGTTTACATTCACACTCACGCTCTGACGGTGAGAGGAATTTTTTCCCTCCCTCTTCCCCCTTTAATTAAAAACTATAAATGCCTTATCAAAAGCTAATTAAAAATACCAACACAGTGCCAAGTGGCAAAAAAAAAACAGCTCAGTACAAATACCCGTTTATAACCCTGCAACAGGCTGTGATGACGCAGCAATTAGAGGCTCGTGGGGACGAGCGGGAGGGGAACGGGGGGGCCACAGGGCTTCAGACCCTCCAGCCCCCTCCGGGGGGCACCGGGGAGCAGCGACCCTCTCCACCCATCCCTCACCATCATCAAACTGGGAGCCGAACAAACCCCAGGGGACAGGCGGCCACAGCACACATGTGGCTGTGGACAAGCCGTATCCCCTCCCTTAGTCTCAGCATCGGGTCCGTAGAGAGGAGGCAATTCTCAAGGGCTGTGGTGACAATTAAGATAATGGGCAAACATTAAGCACTTTTCCAGGTTCCTGGAACATAGCAGCTCAAACACTGTTAGCCTTGCTCTCCAGACGTTATCAGCTGTGCCATCGATGGCTCGATACGATAATAGAGACTAAAATGCTTGACTCCACTAGGCACTCGCTGTGCCAGGCCCTGTGCTTTGCCTTCACTGGGTTGTTTAACCTGCCAGTGCCCAGTGCCCATGCACAAACGGTTCTACCATTATTTTCATTTTACAGATGAGGAGACCGAGGCGTAAAGAGAAGCCGCTCACCAAGGGACACAGCTGTCATCAGGGCAGAGCCTGGACCTGAAGCCAGGTCTGTCTGAGCCTAGAATCCCTACTCTTATCCACTACAGGGCGGTACTGTCTGTGCAGTAGTGAGCACCCCACTCCGGTGGGGACCCCAGTGGGGAGCAGGCATCTCCAGCCCCCACCCCCAGCTGTTATATGCCCCACTCCATGTCTGAGCTGCCTCCCTGGCCTGCCTCCCACACCGCTCAGGGACAGGATCCGGCTCCTGGTTCGTGCCCAGGGCTGCCCCCACTGCCCCCAGCCCCCCATCCTCACCGCTGGTCCGAGGGTAGGCGGCGAGGGTCCCATCCTGCAGGCCGGCAAACAAGTAGAAGGGGTTGTGCCGGATGCAGAGCACAGGCTGCAGGCCTGGGCTCCTACAGGTCGCCAGGCACTGGGTGCCCGTGTCCACGCTGCTGTAAACCAGGATGCTGTGGGAAGAGGCCCAAGTGACTCCCATAGCCCGCCACCCACCCACTGCCCCGCACACCCTCCTGGGGAGAGGGGTTGGGGCTCCCCTCTGCTCGGGCAGGTCCCTGCTGTACGACCAGGCCATCGCCCCAGCTTTGGAAGCTCACACTTCTCCACAGTGGCCTTTGAGGATGGTGCCCTCCCCAGCCCCTGCACACAGGAGGGCTCCAGACGGCACGACAAAGGTGCTGAGAAAACATTCTTCAGGGTCACGCAGACCCAAAAGCGAAGCCGGCCATGCCACCTTCCAGATGACTGACCCCAGGCTGCCGAGCCTCGGTCCTCCCCAAAAACTGGGGCACTGAGGGCTACCTGACGGCCGTCAAAACGAACGGAGCACGGACACGTGCTACATGGACGAACCTGGAAACCTTAGGCTGAGGGAGAATGGGCCAAGCACAAAAGGCCACATCCTGTGAGATTCCATTTCTATGAAATGTGCAGAGGAGACAAATCCAGAGACAAGCGGATCAGCGGTTCCCAGGAGTAGGTACAGGGTTTGTTTCTGGGGTGATAAGAATGTTCTAGAACTATACAGTGGTGATGGCCAAGCATCATGAATGCACTGAAAGTCACTGAATTGTACACTTTGAAATGATGAATTTTATGTTATGTAAATTTTCTCTTGTTAAAAACAAAAACGGTGTTCGCCCCTCCTAGGCACCGAGCTGCAGACCCAGACTCGGACTTCACGGAGCTTCTCGGGTCTCTGAGCTGGTCCTCCCTATGTCAGCTTTTGCTCTTCCCTCAGTTTCCTGGGTGGGAAACAGGAAACACTTCCCGACAGGGCTGCTGTGAGGCACGTGTTACTGGCGGAGGCCTCTCTGCCAGCGGATCTCACGACCTGGGCACGCCCGGGACCCTCGCCCTCTCTGCAAGGGGAGCTGAGGCCACAGGTGGCTGGACGCTCAATGACAGCTCAATGACAGCTCAGTGAACTGAAGGCCCACATGTCCTAGGTCATGGACCCTCACCGTGGCCCTGCATCGGCGGGATTCTAACCACTCCCCTTTACAGACAAGAAACGGAGCCACCCTCCTCCTCCCAAGCAGGAGTTGGTGGGCGAAAAGCTGATCTGGAAAGCTTGAGGAAAAACCCCCAGCTCACCTGCCCAGCCCTGCCCCTGGCTGTCTCAGGCGCATATCCTCAGGCCCCTCACCTGCCATCCTGGAGCCCCAGGCAGATTGTCGGATGCACCGCGGCCGAGGGGTCAGCAGCTGTGTGACTCTCGTCTCCGTCTCCATCGCCATTCTCCTCCTCCTCGGGCTCCGGAATGTACTCCATGCAGAGCACAGGGGCCGCCAGCGGGAAGGACTTGACCGTGCGGGGCGAGGGCCGGTTCAGGGAGAAGATCTCGACCTGGCCCCCTGCACCCTCCTGCCCGCCCCCGACCTGGGGCAGAGACCAGAGAGGCCGTCAGAGGAAACACGAGGGCAGAGGCGGAGCTGAGCTCCTGCTCTCCCAGTGGCCTGTCCCAAACTTCTACTTGTCCCCAGTTGCCATGGCAGCAAGTTAGATTCAGGGCCTGAAGAAACCAGGTAAGGAACTAAAGCGGACTAGATACCCAGTCAGCTTTCTATTTCCTTGACATTAGGGTGAATTTCAGCCAACGAATAGTGAACATACACTCTGCCTCTAAAAGGTTCTTCTTGCCTTGTTTACTGTTTTACCTCAGTGTCTAGTACATGGTAGGCACTCAAAATATAGTTGCTGAATGAATGGCGGGATGGATGAATATATGAATGGATGGACGGATGGACAGATGAATGGATGGATGGATGCACCATGTGCTAGATACTAGAGAAACAGTGAAGAGCAAATTATTCTCAGAGGGGACATTTGGGCTGGACTCTGAAGGGTAAACCAGAGTTTCCTGCCAAGCACCTGGACACAGGCGTAATAAGCAGGAGGAGTTAGAGGCTGGCCAGAGGGGTGGTGAGGCTGGAACCTCAGGGTGTCTATGGTGGGGCTCAGTCTGCACCACAAGGAGCATGGGGGCATCACCTATTGGAATAGAGTGAGGCTTTGCCAGGTGAGCCCAGAGTCCAGGACAGAGGTTCCCAGGAAGCCCTTACCAGGTAAAGTGCACAAAATGGGGGCCAGCAAGCAAATGGCTTTCTCCAGCACCACCACCACCTACCCCCGCCCAGATGCCACGCTCCCTGCTCCTGTCCTGAGGCCAGAATTCCTGGCTGGGCATTGCGGCTACTCACCCAGAGGTAGCCCTGTGGAAGGGAGGTACTGACCGCCGAGAAGCCCAGCAGGGGACAGCTGACAGGACTGTGGACCAGGGCCCCGAGCTGTAGAGACAGAGATGGCACACACAGGATTAAGTGTGGAGGTGCCGGAGAGGCCAACATTAGGCAGCAGAACCTGCTCTGAACCATCTGTGGGGAAGAGGTCGTTAAACCTGCAGATTCCTGGGCCCTGTTTAGGCCCCAAATGAGAATCCCTAAGGGCAGGGCGGGAAAGTGATCCAGGTCTCCCAGGATCACCAGGCAGCTCCTATGCACTTTTATTTGAATTCTGACCTTTGGTCTCCTAGAATCTTCTGGCTGGAAGCGGCCTGAATGATATCTGAGCTCCCTGAGGATTTTCCAAACTGAGCAGCTGCCAGTTAAGATTTATTAAAAACCACTAACAAACACCCGCCCCCTCCCTTTATTTTACAAATGGGAACAACAAGGCCCACAGAGGACATGCGATTGCCCTAGGCCACAGAGAAGGCATGGGACAAGAGCCTGGACTGCGCCCACGTCCTTCCCTGGCCTTCCTGGTGTCTCCAGAGAAGTACAATCGAGGAGAGGCCCCAAGATCATCAGACCCACCCTGTAGACGGGCCCGCCAAGACAGAGGGCCACATGGCTTGGGCAGGCTGCCCATGGGGACCTGGAGCTCCGGCTGTAATGGGCTGTCACCCACAGCTACCAGCTGCTTGATTCTCCTGCAACTGCTTCCCTAAGACCCACGCTGGGTGGCTCTTTGGGACCTGTTTCCCGAGTTAAATCCTGCCAATCTGTCTCTCTGGCCAGGACAGCAATGCAAAGAGATGGCCTGGCCCTTTCAAGGGTCTTACTGGAACCCCAGGCAGATGGAAGGGGCAGGAGGCAGAGTGGAGGCTGTTTTGAAGGTGGCCCGCTGAGGAATGTGGCCACCACTGACCCTTTGCCAGGCAGGTGCTGCCCTCTGCTGGTGCCAAAGGCCCCGGCCAGAGCCGGCCCTGTTGGAAAATTCTAACAAAATTTCTAATGGCCATGGGTGAGGAGGCCCAAAAAGGTCACCTCCTCCAGCTCCCTTATTTAGGAGTCAACGAACTTGAACTTTGGGAAAGAAGGGAGGGAGACATGACTGTCTCAAGGTCACACAGCAAGTTAGTGTCAGAGTCAGGATTGGAATTCAGTTTCGACTCCTGGCCCAGAGCCCCTTCTGGCTGAATTCTACCCAGAGGCCATGCTGGAGGCCTCGGCACTCCAGGACCCCACTTCTGCCTGGCTGGCTGCCAGGCCACCTGCGCACCCCAGGACCCTGCTCCCCATCATTCTGCTTTTGGCCACATCCAGCTGGGTGCCCTGCCCTTTCCGCTGGGCCACTGCTCCTGTCCTCTCTGTGGGGCCGGGGCGACCGCAGTCCTGGCTCAGGCGTTCCCATGGCAATCCCGAGTCAACGGAGCCCAAGTCCAAGGTGATGGCAACAACTCAAAACGACTCCTGGACCCAGACGTCCTGTCTGTGCCAAGAAGCCGGCTCCCCCAAATCCAGGTGCTCACGCAGTGCAGAGGGGGACGGCGTCAGGCTGGCAGGAGCAGGCATTAGAGGCAGCTACCGGCTGGGTGACCCACAGAACAGTCCTCACGGTCTTGGGGACCACGGAGGGTGGACATAAAACACTTGGCGCAGGGCTGGGCACCCGGTAGCAACCTCTGCTCACCAAGGACTTCCTGTGGGATGTTCTAGCACTTTACCTGCCGTAACTCACTCGGTCAGCTAAACAATCCTGTGAGTGAGGGGAGGGGCTGTAACAGATGAGCACCTGTGCCAGTCCGGTGACGGCCCTCACAAACAGCACGCAGCTCTGGCCGACAGAGGCTGTCAGCCCGGACGGAGGCCGCTCAGCGAGCACACTGAGGCCTACGGAGCCTGGCCGTTGACCCTCTAGGTCTGGGCTACAACCACCTCCCAGGCGTCCCAAGGCACTTGCATTTTAAAGCACTTCAGAGTGGGCGGTCCCCCGTCCCCTCCCCAGACCCCTGTCCCCAGGCCTCTTGGCTGGACCTTGGCCCACGGAGGGATGGCTTTGTGCTGGGCCCTCCCCTTGCCCTCCAGGGACAGGCCTCCAGTTTGGATGGACTTGGGGACCCAAGGAGAACCTCTTGACACCTCAGTAGTCAGGCTTTCAGAAATCCCCCCAAAAGACACCGATGGACTTTCCTTCCTGGGGATTAAAACGTCGTCGGTCATCTGCTTTAATTCCTTTAACTCCGGGCACATGCCACGCAGCAGGCACATTGGACCTGGATCGTGCCGTTGAGTCCTCACTGGAACCCGCTGCAGCCACCCCATTTACACACTGACGACGCAGCATCGCTGATGTCGCACGGCCGGGACCTGCAGGGCAGCGCCAACACTCTCTCCCTCTCCCAACCAATTCCTTCGAGTCAGAAGGACCAGTGTGGGGCCACTGGCCACCTGTCAGCACTGTGAAATGCTCCTTCATTCAGCCCCCAGCGTCCCTGTTGCCTTGAGGGAAAGACCCAAACACACTCCCTCACCCAGCTGGCAGTATGAGCGCGGATCACACCTACACTGGGACAGGGACTGGGGCCAGCGGGCTTTCCTGGAGGGCAGCCTTGGTCACTGGCTCCCACGAGGCCAGTCGCAGAGCCAGAGTCCCAGGTCCCGGGGCCCAGGCCCCAGGAGAGGTGATGTGCTGGGAGGGAGGCCCCAGGCAGCAGCCAACACGCTCACATCTTTTCCCACAGAAACCAGACAAGGCGCTGGCATTCCAAGGCCCTAATTCACCTGCTGCCAGCGAGGTGCTGAGGGGCGCATCTGTCTGGTCCGGGCTGGGAGGCAGGCACAGGCAGTGGGAGGATATCTTAGGGACCAGCAAATGGGGACACGCAGGCTCTGGTACGTCCCTCAGGAGCTCCAGAGGCATACTGCCCCCGCTGACTCGTGGTTCCCTTGGCAGGCAGAGGGCTTTGGAGGGGACTGAGGGCGCTTCCGGCCTGCACGTCCCCGGCCCGAGAGCTCCACATGAGGAGCTTCTGGGGCCCTCATCTCCCGGATGTGAGCAGGCAGACGGCTCCATGCTTGGGTGGGGGCTTCTTCTGCCCTGGGGCAGCAGCCTGTGTGTGACTCCACCACCCGGGTGTGGCCTATGGGGGCACGACCAGAGTCCTATAGTCCCAAGAGGGCCAAAGGCCCTCAGGGAAGACGGAGACCATTCCCCACCCCGAAGTCTGTCGGTCAGCCCCGCCGCGTCTTGGCAGGTCCCCCGTACTAAGCTGTGTGGCTCTCTCGGTCTCCCGTCATGCCCGCTTCATGTCCACGGTCCTCTCACCCGACAGCCGGAAGGATCAGACGATCTTTCCAGAACATAAATCAGACCACGCCAGTGCCCCGCTTAGAGCCAGCCTCAGCTTTTCGTTGCTCTGAGAATGAAACCCAAACGGGACCCGGGCTGCGAAGCGGGTGCGGCCCAGCTCAACCCCCACCCCCGGGCCTCACCGCCGGCCTCTCCTCCTGGCTCGCCCAGCCATGGCCATGCCGGCAGCAGCACCAACTTGCCCAGCTGCACCCATCGTGGGCCTCTGTGTTGGCGTTGTCTATATGGGATATTTTTACCCTGGGCGTTCGTGGGGTTCCTCCTTCTTGCTATTCAGATCCCGGTTTAAATGCCAGCTCCCCCAAGAGGTCCTCTCTGACCCCCTAACTATGTTGGCCCCATCTTTGTAGCTATCCGATTTATTTTCTTTATAACACGTGTCGCTCTTTTCCATTTCTTTCTGTTTGCCAGGGTCTTGCCCGACTCTCCGAGCGCGGATCACAACTACACGAGGGTACGTTGTATATTTCGGTTACCACTATATTCCCAGTGTCCAGCACAGGGTCTATCACACAGCAAATGCTCAAAAATTATATGCAGAATGGACAAATGAATGAATGAACTAGTGAATGAATTGACATCTCAACAGTATGTACTTTCAGCTACTTAGAGCCCCAATATGCAGCCCAATCAGCTGGTCTCCTGGGACTTCCCTATCTGGGCCTAGGTCCCAAGCTTGCTCTCCCCTCCCCAAGCGCAGATGACCTCCCCTCCTTGGGAGGAAGATGGGCAGCAGCTGCTCCAGATAAAGGAGTGAGCTTGGCCAGCACATCAGGGACAGGTGACCAGTGGAGGGAAAAGCACTGGTGTTAGAATTAGGCAGAGCGAGGTTACGATTCCTGGACCCATCCTTATTGGCTGTGTCATTTTGGAAAGTCATGTCATCTGTCTGAGCCTTAGGGGGTCCTTACCTGAGAAACAGATCTAGAAACATCTACTTACAAAGTTCTGTAGGTTCTTGATAAAGGGGATGCATGATGGCTATGGAGCATGTCCTGTCCCCTCCCCCCGCCCACACCAAAGCTGGCTTCCACCAGACTCCAACCCACCAAGGGACCAACCCACAAAGTCTGGCACAGCCCCTTGGGCATATTCCGGCCTATCATCTGGGTTGGAATCATGCCATCGACTAATGAGATCATTGCTATTTGTTAGCTCAAAACAATGGAACTTTCCATTCACTTGACCCACAGAAGGCAACTACCCCAACTTTTTTGGTGAGGAAGCTGACTCCTAGACCAACGAAAAGACTTGACCAGCTCTATCGCTAAGAAAGTGAAAAGCTGGATCTGGAACCTGGGCCTCTCCCGCTGTGGCACAGCCTGGAAACTTTGGTTCTCCCAAGAGAAAAGGAACCACAGCCACCTTCGCAGCAGACTCAGCTAGATCGGCTCCACTCACCTGCAGGCTGAGACCCCGGGAGGAGAAGGCGGGGATGCAGCAGGCCAGGATCGGGCACCAGAACGGGGCTTTGCTCTTCTTGTCCTCGTCCAGGCATAGCCAGCCCGGCTGGTTCTCCTCCCCTACAGCAAGAGGAAGGAGGTGGGTGAAGCTCGTCCAAGGACCGAGGACCAAGCGGGCAGTGAGCAGCCCAGGAAGCCCAGGGAGACACCGCAGGCCGCAGAGGCCCAGCCTGCACGGTGGCCTGGACTGACCCAGCCACTTGCCCCCCAGCACCACTCCTGCCCACGCAAGATGAAACCCGGCCTCACTCCACGGTCATGGCTATGGGTCCCTGGCAAGGAGGCAGGAAGCCTGAGGCTTGAGTCCTGCTTGACTGCCCTTTTGCTGAGCAACCTTGTGGAAATCGTTCCACCTCTCTGAGCTTCAATTTCTTCCTCTATGAAACAGGGATTTTGAAAAATGCCTTCGTCTTGCAGTTACTGTGCGGATTCAGTGAAATAATAGATAGAAAAGGATTTCCAAAGGCATTAAGATGTTGAGCTCGTCCCAGGCCCTGCTACCTTGCCCTTACCTTCTAGAGGTGGAAGATGGTCACAAACCAGCAGGCAAACAAGACAGTTTGGGACTGTGAGGACACAGCCGAGCTGCTTTTACACCTGACTGCGATGGTGATGGTGAAGTAGAAGATGCTCTCCCGCTTCATTCGAAGCTCCCCTGAAATGGATGCTCAACAGCATCCATTAAACCGCCCTCTCCACAGTGGCTCCTTCACATGGGTCAGGGCTCCCTCACACACTGCCGCCTCCAAGAAGTCCTCCGAAACACCCTGGCTACAGCGGCCCCCTCCTTCCAGGGGGAAAGACCCAAACTCGCATAGCTTTCACCACAATATAAAATCATGGTGTCCACTTTCTCGTTTTTGACCTGTCTCTATACGTCTCTAGAATGTAAGTGCAGGGCAGCAGGATCTGGGCTGTGTCGTTCGCCACTGTCTCCCTGACATCTGGCATGCTGCCTGTCCAGAATAAGTGTTCAGCAAACGCGGGTCAAAAGAATGAATAAGTGAACAAGTGAGTAAACCACCATCTCTCCCAGAAAGTTCTCTCTGCTAAGGAGCCCGTCCTTCACGCTCCATACAACGTCATTGCATATGACGACTGCCTTTGTGGTCTCCTGACAGCAGGGGACACGGCGCCGCTATGACACACCCACCGTGTCCACACGCCAGGCACATGCTAAGTGCTCCACACGTGTCCCCTGGCTTCCTTTTCACCATAACCAAGCACGGTTAGATGATGACTTTCACTTGACAGATGATAAGACAGACATTCAGGGATTAAGCTGACCGGGTCACATGCATGCCTAGATGGCCAAGCCCAGATGGGGACCAAGGTCTGTCTGACTCAAAGCCCAGGTTCTTTGCACTAACCCAGGCAGTATTCCAGCAACCAGCCCCCCATGACACCCCTGGGCATGACTGACCCTGGACATGGTGACGCTGGACAATGAGGAGGCGGCTCTGCCTGTGCCTCAAGCTTTGGAAATGGAAAGCAAGGTCATTGAGTAAACTGTCATGACAGAGCCTTCCCGCCCAGCACAGAGCAAGCACTGGAGAAACGCCACCGTCAGGGAGGGGAAAATGAGAGAAATCAATACAGGGCATAAAGTTTGGGTTGTACGAGATGACTAAACCCTACAGATCGTCTGTACGGCATAAGCATAGCACCTACAGCCAACAATTCCATGTTATACTTAAAATTTTGCTGAAACTGTAGGTCTTATGCTAAGTATTCTTATCACAAAAAATTATAATAAATAAGAGGGCAGGAAGAAACTTTTGGAAGGGATGGCTTTGTTTTGGCATAGACTGTGATGATGGGTTCACAGGTGTGTACTTATCTCCAAACTCATCCAGTTGTATACATTGAAAATGTGCAGTTTTTGTATGTCAATCATACCCCAATCAAGTGGTTTTTAAAAGATTCCACTGCCACCAGAGCAGGGTGGCGCCTGTGTCAGTCACAGCGAGAGAAGCCAGAATAAGGTGGCAGGCGTGGATGTTCTTTGCGAAGTTAAAGGACGTTCGCAAATGTCAGGCGTTCCTACACGGATGAGCTGTTTCAGCGGGGGCTCCGGCGCCCGCCCCCGCTCCCTCAAGCGGTAGAGTCGCTGGGCGGTGAGCTCACTCCCCAGACGGGGCCTCCATCCCACTGGGCCCTGGAGTCAGAGTTACATCAAACCTGGTCCCTGCCACCGAGGAGGAGAGGCCATCAAGGAAAGGGTAACGACAGCAGAGGGTGGGCATCACCGTAACAGAAAGACGTGTGCACCGCACTTCACAGTTTCCTAAGCTCTGTCCCGACAGTCTCATTTCATCCTCACGGCCACTGGTGGGGACATCACCCATTCTACCCTGAGGAAACGGGGGCTGGGGGAAGTCAAAGGCAGGGCTCAGGAGCCAAGGAGCTGAGCAGCGTGCTGTGAGCACAGGGGGTGATCGCCGAGACCGCCGGCCAGGCTGTGGGGCGGCACCTGTCTCTTTGGTAGGTGCTCACAGCACGCTGCTACGCTGTTCTTGGACAAGCCCCTGGGCAGCAAATTAAGATGGGCGAGACTTGAGTGCATCCCCCTTCTCGAGCTCACAGTCACGCAGACCCTCACCAATACCTGACGGGAGCCCGGCAGAGCACCGGACCCCTCACCCGGCGGCCTCCTGGAGCTCAGTCAGGGAACATGACCCACCCCGCCCCGAGCTCCCTTCCTCTCCAACCCCCAACCACCCACAGCCCATCAAGTCCCGGTAATTTATTAGTATATATTTTTTTTAATGATCTGACCTTCTCCTTCCAGATGGTGCCTTCCCTGCCTGTGCCTGGGAACGTTAAAAGAAAACGGAGTGGTTGCTTCCCATCTGCCACTGCCATTGTCCCTGTCACAAAACCAAAGCGGCTGAGACCAAATTAGAAGGCTGTTGCGGCTGAAAATTGAAGGCTCGCTTGGGATAAGTGACATTAAGAACTGGCACCAACAGCAAAGCTGTGATTTCCAATTGACATGAAGCGGGGGCTTACTTGGCGCCCAGCTCTGCAGCACCCACTGGACATGAGATCAGCGGGAACAGCTCAGGGCAAGAGGCCACGTCCCCTTCCACTCCGCCACCTCCGAGCCTGTAGAACAGCCCTGCCGGCTGCAGCAGGCTGGCTGTGCCAGAAGGGGCCTGGCAGGTCCCAACTCGGCCTCCAGCTCAGTGTCACACTGGACACTTACCCTCTCTGGGCCCGTCACCTCATCTGGAGAATGCGGGAATAATCCGACCACTTGGAGCTCTTGTGAGCTATAAGGCCTGGTACACACCAGACACTCTAGAAACAGTACGCGTTATGATCCCTGTACCTGGTTAAGAGGCTCGTCTATTACTATGCTTGAGGGTGGCTGGCCTGCCCTGCCCTCCAGCCCCGACCTGCCTCCCAAACTCCTCCAGTGCTCAGTCCCAGCGCTGTGCCTTTCGGTCACAGCTGCCCCAGTGGATAGCCCAGCTGCCCCTCTACCTTCCCAAATCCAAGGCTGACTCTGAGGCCCCTCTCACACCTCCCAGCATAGAGGGGACTGGCGGGACCTCAGCACACACCTCCTCCAAACACCCTTCCCCTGCAGACAGAGATACTGCTGTCTGGGGAGGCCAGGTGTGTGGCCGTGGTAGGCCGGCTGGGGTAAAGCCCAAGTCATGCCCCAAAGCCACCTCAGCCCCCCTCCTGGGGGGCAGACCCATCGCTTCCAGCCAAGGGCTCGGGCAGGTCCAAGGGCTGACCTCAGGGATGGCTGGGGGTTAAAGGAGATGAGGGTTAGAGCATGCTCAGTGTGCACCTCGGCTGTGCTCAGGTCTCCATAAGTGGATCCATCGCTAGGAAGAATGATGGTATTACTGTGAGGACTAAGCTGGAAAACCAACCAAGTCAGGGTGGCAAGGGAGGACCCCCCGGCAGCAGCCGCAAGGATATGTCCCCGTGAGCACGGGATTAGCCCGCAGCCTGCCAGGCCCAGGTCTTCTTGGGAGGTAGGAGCAGGAGGCCATGGTGGAAGAGGCTCCAGGGGCGCATAGGTCAGAGATACTGAGCTTTGAGAATTGGAGGGGGGGCGGGGGGACAGGCACAGGAAGGGAGGGTCAGAAGCCCCCAACCTCGCCTCTTCTTTCTCTGGTGCCTTCTACTTGCAACCCTTTTCCAGAGCCCAGACAAACAGGAGCCTAACTGGCAGAGAAGTGGGAGGGTATTCTGGCCCCACTCGCCACTAAACCTTGTGTGACCTTAGGCCATCTGTGAGATGCAGACACCCACATGCCAGCCGCTGGCCGTCCCAGACACCCTCCATGCACCATCTATGCTTGCAAGGGCCCTGTGAGGGGGACACTGGTATTATCCCCATTTTCTGATGGCAAATCCAGGGCATCTAGAAATTAACTCGTCACCCGAGATCACAGAGCTGGTAAGTACCAGAGCAGGGAACTGAACTCAGGCAGCCTGGCTCTACTTTGCTTGGCACTAAGACTCCAAAACACAGCAGGAGGAAGAGCTCCTGGAGCTCCGTCTAAACGACCGGGAGAAGCCGGCCTTTCCCGGGGCCGCACGGCATGACAGTGGCCATGCTATGAACTGAGTTCCCAGATTCCCCAGGACCCCGGCCCTTCCAAGGGGCAGAACTGACACCCCCTCCCGGATCCCAGGTGCCCCGACTCTAGCCCTGTCCTTTCTCAATCTTCGGTGGATTATGATCTTGGCACACTGTAGTCAGGGAGAGAGGAAGATACAGCAGAAAAAAAAATTAAAGGAATAACATCCTTTGTGAATAAATTTTTTTAACATATTCTATTCCTAACGGGCTCATGTTATTTTTCCCTCCCCGCCAGCCATTGCAGATAAAAAAAACAAACTGGCAAAATAAAAAGAACAAATTATTCAAGCCCCAGGGGAACCCAGGCATTCAAATAAGATTTCAAATGACTCTGGTTCCATTAAAACTTTTGCTGCAGTGAAACTGCACGGATGTAGGGTGGCTGAGCATCTTCACAGGCAGCTGAGAACCAAGATACTCACATCAGTCAGCTCCTCTCCCTCCGACACCAAGCCCCACTCAGCAAAGCATCTGGGGTTCAAACAGGAGATTTAACCTGCTTTTACAGCAGGTGTACAAACACGACTCAGGCGCTTGCCCAGGACGCAAATGCTGCACAGGACAACGTGTGGCCCAAGACCTGGCAGGCAGGGGAACCAACAACTCGGCGTTTCGTCGGGCCAAAATTCCCACAGTCCTCTGCCAGGGCTGGGGACAGCCTCTGCTTACAATCCTCCCTCCACCTTTCCCCGGCCTTGGTCACCCAGAAACATCCAGCGGAGGTGTGTGCAATGTCAGCTCCAGATCCAGGAAGAAATCGAATGGGCAGAAGCCTCTGATCCTAGCTCCTCCAAAGCCACAACCTCCCCTCCACGACCTCCCCCAACAGCCACATGCCCTCTGTGCCCGGCAGCCAAAGTGACCTGCTTAAATAGAAATCGCATCATGACGCTGACCGGCGCTCGATGCTACAACACACAGCTCCTCATGGCGCCCGGAACGGGTCCCATGTATCTCACCCTGGCTTTCTAGACAACCTGCCCCCTCCCCTCCACCTGCCCCATTCGCCAGCTCTGGCCGCCTCAGGACCTTTGCACTAGCTCTTCTGAAGCCTGGATCATTTCACCTGGATCTCCATACGGCTTCGGGTGTCACCTTCTCAGAGGTCCTCCCTGACAGCAGTTCCGAGCCCCAGGCTCGGTGCCAGTCACGTCACCCAGCTCTACCCCTGTTGATTGCTCCTCACTAATGTCCACCTGCCCCTCTTAAACTGTAAGTTCCTTGAGGGCAGGACTCTTTCTATTTTTGTCATTGGTTTTTTTTTTTTCCCCTATGCCTAAAATTACCGTAGACGCGATAAATATTTTTTTTCATTGATGAAAGACATGGACAAAAATCCTGATTTCTGTCTGGAAATGTCTCAGAACCTAGTGGAAATACATACTTATCTATAAAAAGATCACAGCAGAAACAGAAATGAGAAATAAAACAAAACAAAAAGATCACTGCTATTGGTTGGAATCAGCGAATGGGAATATTCTAACATACATCGCAGATGGTGACGGCCCTGACTGGCAAGGACCCGGGCCTTGTGTCAGTTCACAAAAAACGCGAGTAAAGTAATCATAACTTAATGAGTGTGGTCTGACAGACGGAAACTCGCCAACTCGAGGGCGCAGGACGGAGAGGGATTGAGAGTGGGCTCTGGGGCCAACTGCTCAGA